ATTGAAACAGAATTATTAAAGGAACAAAGCTTAACTGGAAAAATTAACCCGAAATATTAAGGGAACAGAGCTTACTTAAGAAAATGACATCTATGTATTAATGGAACAAAGCTTGCCTAGTATAAAGGCACCGACATATTAACAGAAAACCTGATTAGAAACAAATGACACCGAAATAGTAACAGAATAAATCCTACCTAGGAAAATGTCATTGAAATATTAACGGAAGAAAGCTTGTCTAGGAAAATGGCATCGTAATATTAATGGAATAAAGCCTACCAAGGAAAGTGAGACCGAAATATTCACGGAACAAAGCTTACCTAAGAAAATGAAACCTAGTATTAACAGAATAAAACTTAACTAGGAAAATGGCACCTAAATATTGATGGAACAAAGCCTACATTGGAAAATGGCAGCGACATATAAATGGAACAAAGCTTACCAAGGAAAATTGCACCGAAGTCTTCTATTTTTAAAACCAACATATCTTCCATTTTTAAAGCCGTCTGAATTGACATTAGCTTCATTATCACGTTCTCTTTAATCTTGTCGGTGGAGAATTTATCTTTAGAACAAATTAGAAATAGCAAGGTCCTAAATCATACGTCTAGAGAGCGGAGAATATATAATAAAACAAAAATGAAACAAATCTAACCATGAATTAAAATGAATGAAAAACGAGATAATAATGAATAATAATTGACAATTCGTAGAATTTTGTTTTCCAATGTTAATTTTCTGATTTATAATAATATTAATGAAAAGATAAGCTCATACTAACAATACTCACAGATACTAACAAATACTCGTGGAGATCCCTCCATTGTCTTGTTAAACATTTGATCGTAACAACTTTAAGAAATAACAATCGTAAATATGAATGCAGGTCATTATTAAAAGAAGTAAGAGTGTTCAAAGATTTAAAATTGACAAACGTTTCGATTTCACTGAAGCAGACGCTAAGCACATAAGAGTGTTCTTGCGTCCTTTGTCGTCCTTCCCTTTTTTTTCTTCCTTTCTTTTTCTCATTGAAACCAAACGCCTCTGCTATGTCTTTAGCGTCTTTCCTTACGATTAAACCAGGGTAGACAATTATTCATAATATATTTCCAGGGTGTAGCTTTTCTTTGTTTCTTTGTTTCTTTCTTTCTTTCTTTCTTTCTTTCTTTCTTCCATCCTTCCATCCTTTCTTTCCTTCTTTCTCCCTTCCTTCATTCCTTTCTTTCTTCCATCCTTCCATCTTTCTTTCTTTCTTTCTTTCTTTCTTTCTTTCTTTCTTCCATCCTTTCTTTCCTTCTTTCTCCCTTCCTTCCTTCATTCCTTTCTTTCTTTCTTCCATCCATCCTTCCATCCTTTCTTTCCTTGTTTCTCCCTTCCTTCCTTCCTTCCTTCCTTCCTTCCTTCCTTCCTTCCTTTCTTTCCTTCTTTCTCCCTTCCTTCCTTCCTTCCTTTCTTTCTTTCTTTCTTTCTTTCTTTCTTTCTTTCTTCCATCCTTCCATCCTTTCTTTCCTTCTTTCCCCCTTCCTTACTTCATTCCATTCTTTCTTTCTTTCTTTCTTTCTTTCTTTCTTTCTTTCTTTCATCCATCCATCTTTCTTTCTTTCTTTCTTTCTTTCTTTCATCCATCCTTCCATTCTTTCTTTCCTTGTTTCCTTTCCTTCCTTCCTTCCTTCCTTCCTTCCTTCCTTCCTTCCTTCCTTCCTTCATTCATTCCTTTCTTTCTTCCTTTCATCCATCCTTCCATCTTTCTTTCTTTCCTTCTTTCTTTCTTTCATCCATCCTTTCTTTCCTTCTTTCTCCCTTCCTTCCTTCATTCCTTTCTTTCTTTCTTCCATCCATCCTTCCATCCTTTCTTTCCTTGTTTCTCCCTTCCTTCCTTCCTTCCTTCCTTCCTTCCTTCCTTTCTTTCCTTCTTTCCTTCCTTCCTTCCTTCCTTCCTTTCTTTCTTTCTTTCTTTCTTTCTTTCTTTCTTTCTTTCTTCCATCCTTCCATCCTTTCTTTCCTTCTTTCCCCCTTTCTTTCTTTCTTCCTTTCTTTCTTTTTCTTTCTTTCTTTCTTTCTTTTCCTTTCTTTTCTTTTCTTTCTTTCTTTCATCCATCCATTTTTCTTTTCTTTCTTTTCTTTCTTTCTTTCTTTCTTTTTTCTTTCATCCATCTTTCCATTCTTTCTTTCCTTGTTTCTCCTTTCCTTCCTTCCTTCCTTCCTTCCTTCCTTCCTTCCTTCATTCATTCCTTTCTTTCTTCCTTTCATCCATCCTTCCATCTTTCTTTCTTTCCTTCTTTCTTTCTTTCATCCTTCTATCCTTTCTTCTTTCCTCCTTTCTCCCTTCCTTCCTTCATTCCTTTCTTTCTTTCTTTCATCCATCCTTCCATCCTTTCTTTCCTTCTTTCTCCCTTCCTTCCTTCATTCCTTTCTTTCTTCCTTTCATCCATCCTTCCATCCTTCCATCTTTCTTTCTTTCTTTCTTTCTTTCTTTCTTTCTTTCTTTCTTTCTTTCTAGCTGGCTTGTTTACTTTCTTTCTTGCTTATTCCCATTGAAACCAAACAATATCTCTGCTGTGTCTTTTTCGTCTTTCTTCTCGATCAAGACCGGACAGTCCATTATTTACGAGGTACTGACTGATCGTAACTTATTAAGGAACTAAGGAACAATTAGAAATATGACATTGTTTTTTGTTCTCAGAAATTCCTTCATTAATACACTGCATCAATTCGTTTAAATTGTTAATGGCTTTTGTTTAATAAATTTACTCGGAGTTATGACATTTTGGTTAGTTCATGAATTTCAGCTTTAGCAAATAGAATTTCATTTTGTTTGTTTTGTTGTATTAGTAACATTTTCTCTTGTTCCACCATTTTATATAAAAAAGAATGACAGGACTAATTCTTGGGAATCCATTGCGTAAGCCGCAACTGTTTAATAAAAGGTGCGTATCGTACGGGGGGGTATGTAGACAGGTAAACGGTTATCAGGAGAAAAAGTAAAGTCGGTGTTTAAATTCTAACCGAGTATGTTCAGTAAAACTCGCACTAATAGCCTTGGAAAAGGCGTGAATATGTTTTCCTTCACCTATAGGCTAAATAGTACGGCTGACTGAGTTCTCTTGTTCTGGGTGACATTCATTCAAGCAAAAGCTACATACTGAATTAAAAGCCATGTAACGAGCAGTCTAGGCTATTTGGCTTTGGTAGGGCAACCAATCTAGGAGAAAGGTAACCCTTAATTAAAGACCCATCAAAAGAATGATGGGGATCTGTCAGGCTTTTTGTCCAAGACACACTGTTGCTACGGATGCAATACATGTTATTTCCCTATAACCCTGACTTTTTTTAAAATCAGTATCACCCCAAGCAAGATAGTCCGCCTTGGGTGGCCCTACCAGGAACGAAGTTCCGGGCGGCATAGCTCTGACACTACCGTTTACCCCCCCCACACACACACACCCCGACTGTGAGGTAAGGGTTGGACTTTGGGGGCTTACAGTACCAGGTGTTCCCAAGCGGTCCCCCATCTAAGTACTGACCTGGCTCTACGATGCTTAACTTCGGTGATCGAACGAGAACCGGTGTTTCAGCGTGACTTGACACACACGCCGGCTAACAAGGGCTCTGGTGAAAATCCAAGGAGCGTCTGCATCGGTAACCGGCGGCTTCTGGTCGTTCCTGTCTCTGCGTCTGTGGGAACCCCGCGGCAAGCAAGAACGTTATCCGAGTAGGCCTGGGTAACCTACTTCTGTAATTTATCCCAAGAATCTTCTTCTCATAACAGGAAGAAGTCGGCTCAATCCGCCCAGGGTGAATGCCGCATCAGTACAGTACAGTACAAGCAAGATAGTAAAGTCACTAAAGCGCAAGGGATTATGGGATGTGGAGGAATTAGGAACAGAAGCATTAATAATGAGCAGAAAGAGAAAAGAGCAAGTAGGAGGACAGTAGATAGCGATTAACGTTGCATTTAAATTTTTGGAGATTAAAGTTGCCTGGAAAGCATGGAACCGGAAGGGAGTTCCCCAAACGAGAAAAGAAACGAAGTACGTGAAAAGAACCAGCATAGAATTTACGGTTACATCTAACTAGCTCAACAGTAAATTGATGAGTTTAGTACTGCACTTGAATTCATAAAGTCTAGATTCCCCTGCAAAGAGTTCAAACATTTACCATGAAAGTATTTGTAAAAAAAAAACAAAAAAAAAAACGCAGGGAGACAAATTTACGGCCGTAAGAAAGTACCTAAAGACAAGATGCCAGGTCAGGACTAATAATATTGCTGATTATTTATTCTCATCGAGTAAGTAATGAGTTTTAAACAGAAACATGTTTCAGTGTGTTGCCTGGAAACAGTAAACATAGCGTCAACAGCGAAATTTTCTACCATTGCAGGTTTGTATGGAGCTAAAACGAGAAACAAAAACAAGTAGATCAATGCCTGGTTTATCAAAGACTTATAAAGTTCCAATTAAGATATTTCTTTATTATTATTCTAGTCTTTTAGCTGAAAATTCGGAATTACGTAATTTAGAAAATGAAGATTTTAATTGAGTAAGCAGATCGCTATCGATGGAAACCTAGTAAAAATTGTTTGAATTTCTTCAATGATATTATTGATCTTTTCTAAGCCTTGTTTATTCCAGCAGTGTGTGTTGGAACGCTATTATTTGTAATCTGAGGAGACTCAGAGGTAAGAGTAGGTGCTGTCGTTTTGTTAATGGTCATGTTATTAGACTAATCGATGGCCGGGCGCTTTTGAGTCGACCGACAAAGCTGGTCATTTATGAATAGCCAATATTAGACGGTCTTTGAAGTCACGCAAGATTGAAGAGGGTGTTTCTGACTATTCCTCTGGCCAAATTAATGTTCTCCACCTCTCGCCATTAGAATAAAAAGAACAAAAAGAAATGAAAATGCAGAGCATCAAAAGACTCATATATATATACATAGATGTATTTGTTTGTTTTGTTATTGCGTAAACACACACACACACACACACACACACACACACA